AGGTCCTATTATGTTTAATGTATGTACCAAATTTGAATGAAATCCGTCCATGCATAACTGAGATCCGGGTCCGGAATGGTGAAAATGTGCGATTTCAATGCATTTTCGACCTTAAAGCGGCCGCCATTTGGCTATCGTTAATGAGATCATGAAACAAATGCACATACATATTTGTGACATGATGTACCTTGTGTGTGTGAAGTTTGAACTCGATCAATCCAAGCATGTCTCAGATACGGATCCAGAACTGAATTCTTTAAAACAAAATGGCCGCCAGTCGGCTATTTCGAACCCGATCCAAAAAAAAAAAAGACGTGCATCAAGGTCCTATTATGTTTAATGTATGTACCAAATTTAAACAAAATCTGTCCATGCATAACTGAGATCCGGGTCCGGAATGGTGAAAATGTGCGATTTTGATGCATTTTCGGCCTTAAAATGGCCGCTATTCGGCTATCGTTAATCGGATCATGAAAAAAATGCATGTGCATATGTCCCATATAATGTGTGATGTATGAGTGAAGTTTGAACTTAATCGGTCCATGCATGTTCGAGATACAGGTGATCACGGACGCACGGATGCACGGACGCACGGACGCACACAGGGCAAACCATAAGTCCCCGTTTTCGGACTACGTCCGAACGGGGACTAAAAAACTAAATCAGGTTTTTACCAGTTAAATTTTATTCAAAACCATTTATATACAGAAGCACGTTTCAGAATAGAATATTGAAAGGCAGTGAGAATTACTTCTATGTTTGGGCCGAGTGTTCTTATCGATATGAGTCTGCATTTACATCAACTTCCAAAAACCAAGCCATAGATTTGTGAGAGCAATTTTATCAAAATGACCAATTTGAAAATCAGTCAAAAAACTCGTTATTTTATTTTTTGATACTAAACTCATTAGCTTGGTAAAATATCCCTGCTTTTCAAGTTAGGGATGCAGGTTCCTCTGTATACAAGACATCTGAGCATGTCAGAGAATTAACATATATTTATCCAACTTCATCGATGATAACAGAATCACAGCATACATAATATCATAAATGTGCATCTGATTTAACAATGATTTTGATTAATGTTCAAAAACTACAAAATTCAAACCAATCTGTAGTTTACCATGTGCAAACAAAGCTGACATAATGGAGCAGGAAACCATTTGCATCTGGAATGCAGAAATGGTCTATTCCGGATTAAATTGAGTTTTTTTCCATCTTCATGAGCCAAGGCCAGTTTATTCAGCCACTATCTCATATCTTTACTTTGCACAATCATATCTTTTCTTGTAAAAAATAATTTGTTTGTGGACAATGAATTTACCAACATGGTGCTTTGGAAAAATATATTTACTAATTTCTTCGCAAAACAAAAATTCAATGACTACCAAAAACAGGCAGTAGATGTAGCTATGGTTACAGCAGGTGCAAACAAGCTTTTTACTAAAAGTTAGCAAAAACCCTAGGAAAGTCTCTATGGACCTTGCAATGTAGCAAGAACTTTCCCATTGCCCCTATCAAATGATCTAACGTTATTAAAATGATTTGTTACATTTTGTGACAATCTCACTTCCCCTGGCACCACTTCATTTTGAACTTTTTGTCTAGGTACGTAATATGTTATTGTCTGATTCATATATTTTATTTCTGGTTGCTTCAACTGTATGGGGGAATTTAATGAGGCTATTGGAACCCATACAAATCTTGTTTGCGCGTGCTGTAATTATGCTAATGACTAAACTTTAAAAAAATCAAACCACGATTTTGTTCAATGATCCCAATATACAAGTGTAACTACCATACAGACATCGCCATTTCTAATCTGGAAGGCCACAACAGATTGAGACAAAAGTGGGACAATGTTAGGTTCACTTGACATGTAATTTTTTAAGGTATATTGAATTATGTAATAGTTTATGGACTCAATTAATTGTTATATGTTGTATTTTTTTCTAATTTTCTGTTGTGTATTCGTTTTTCTTTGTTGATTGAATAAAAAAAATTATGCTAATGACATGTTTCAACAAATTTCACACACAGGGCTAGTCAAGTGTTTACTTTCTGTGAAGACCATTTGCAAGTTTCTGGTGCATGTGATATTTTGCCAATCACTGCAGCAACTTATAGGTGTGTGTATACATACAAATATGATTTCCGCAGTGTTTCCATGTAGTAGATATATATATATACATGTTTATATATCTATAAGAAACATTTCAGTCATGATTGACCTTTAACAAGAAAGATTGTATGTAGTAATTGGATTAAATTTGCTACATGAAACAGAAACCCACATGTCATCTATCGGATATAGTGCAAGAAAAAACCACATGTTAAATACAATATTTTAAAAATATTTGTCAACTATGGTACAATATGGGCGTTATAAACATATCATTCTTTTAGTACTCATTTATCACCCGTGATGCCAGCCACTGCAATGTTTTCATGATTGTTCATTTCAATGTATCGTTGCCAGTAATCTATCTCTATCATAGCTCAACTCAGAAAACTGCTTTTGTAGTTCTTTTTCTCTCTCAGTTTGCCTCTTCATGTCTTCTTGTAACGACTGCAATTGAGAGAAATCCCATATTAGAACACTTGCCGTATCAACATTGTTATATCTACATGTACAGACACAAAGTGTTTTTTTTACATAAGCTTGCTAGTAATATGTATGTTAGCGAACGTCGGCGTAAATACTCAATATGGAGAACATTCTAAAAGGAACATTGCTGGGTAGGGAATTTGTTTTGTTTTAACAAAATATTGATGACACAGCCCCAAAACCAAAAGGGTCACAATTGAAGGAGTTGATTTTGCATACATAAAGATATACATAAATTTGTTCCTACCCATTCCAGAACCATTTTTATTTAAAATTTGTATAAAGACAACATATAATAGGATACATATGCATGTCTCTATTTTGTTGTTTCATTGATTTTTGATTGGTGACCATTTTGGTCACGAAAAAGAAAGTTTCAACATATTATCAAACGTTTGTCAAACATGCTTTGATCAATTCAATTCATGATAATAACAGCTTCGCTTGCCACAAGAATAATTTTATTTCATTCACTTATGAAGACCAGAATGCCTTAATTTGCCCTGTGTTAGCACTAAACTTTGAAATTTAAACTATTCAGAAGAGTAGCTACACTAAAAAAATCATTATAAAGGTCAAAACAAGCAGTAAATGAGAGAAACACTGTATAAGTACACAGACAGACAGACAGGGGAAACTCAATGCCCCTAGCCCTCCCTGTTAATGCCACAGAAACTTACTGCTATTCTTTTTGGAATGGCAACATCTTCATTCTTCTTCAGAGATTCAAATGTTTTCATCTCCACATAGGTCTGCTCAAGATTCTCAAATACATCATGAAGTTGTTTAGTAAGGCCTAGCGCCCGTGATTGGTAGCCGCCAAGTAAAACCTTCAATCGTTTTTCCATCTTGGCAGCTCGTTTAGCTTCCCTCGTCATGTGTGTTCGGTTAATCTAAACACCATAAGATACAACAAATAATAATTACGGTCAATTCAAAACTGGTGAGCATATTTACAGAATTCACAGAAGAACGGTTAAGTTGAAGCACTTATACAAGACATGGGTTTTTATTGATTATATTTCTTGACTTTACTCCAGAAGAAAGCACACCTACTGTTGAATGTATTTTACTGACAAAATGATGTCAAGATGCGGATGAAAGTTATCCAATATGTATACTGTGAAATACTTTATTTTAGCTGGAATTAATTTTCGCTGAAAAAACTTTTTGGGTGTTTTTGTGGATTTTATTTTCACTGATTTTTGAAGAGTTGAATGTAAAATATAGGAAAAAAAGTATATTCGCTGGATTTTATTTTTACTGAATCATTCCTTCAGTGAAAATAGCGAAAATTAATTCCAAGCGAAAATAAAGTATTCTACAGTATTCATGATAAAATTGAACTTTAATAGGTTGGAATTTATTTTTTCACTACTGGTAAACTCAGCAAAAATCGAATCCCCTGAAATGTTATTTTTCCAACAAAGTTACAACACCACATAAAATTCAATAAGAATCAGATACAACATGTACAATGCATGCAAAACCTTGTTTCATAAAATTTTAACTTATACTGCATGATGACTGTGATGTTTTATTAAGTAATTCAATATGAAACACTAAAAATAAATTACACAAACCATTGTGAAAAAAAGAGTTATCTTCATCAAACTTACCTCTAGTTTTTTCTCAGCTGATTCTATCCTATCTTTTTTACTAGCCAAGTTAGCTCTGGTATAACGATTTTGAGATGGTAAAAATAAACACTGACTATTACACTCATCCCATACTTGTTTATACGTATCTGCAGTCAGGTCACCGTGACCCATACCAGACTTGACAACTTCCATCTCTTTCTTTAACAACTCTCTAGCCTGTAATGCAATAAAACAATACATGTTACACTCTGTGTAATAATGGGGTCATGAGACTAGTATGGGAAATGTTGTAAATTTACGACAGTTGTGGTAAATGTTTCGTCAGAATGTTGGTGATGCTTTCCAATTCCCATTTCATCGATTGTTCTTTTATCATGTGCAACCGCTCTTAATATTTTCACACACATATATACGTTTTTTTCTCTAAAATTTGCTAATTTCTGACCAAAATAGTGTTTATTTCAAATGATTTCTTGTGATTTATAATTCATGTAGAAACAAACGAACGAGTAAACAAAAACTAAAATAGCCACTGGTATATTTTTAACTGTTGTGGCATTGAAATAATTTCTCATGGGCTTTATTGGGTCAATAGATTTTCAACAAATCACAATGAAGTAAAACATTTGAGGGTGAAATTGTGATTATCATCTGCGCACACACATTCACATTTAATATGTTTAATGCACTGAATAGCATGTTATGGCTACGTCAGTTTTATTTTTAGTAGGACATTGTAGCCGTGACCAGACTTATCAGTGTTCTCCCCAGGATGTAAACAGCGTGGCGGTCCCGCCACAGTGCTTTGATTTGCCGCCACACCGGTCTGACACTGCCACGGTGATTAGCAAGACCGCCACAGTGCTTCTTTTCATTGGGGGATCTCGTCACGCTGGTCGGCTTGACCGACATTCAAAATTAGCGACCACCGCGGAAACGCTTCCGACTATTGTCATATTGTTATTATACTTACGTACCGATCGACACGCATCCTGCCATTCGAGGATATTAATTTGGAAACAATAGACATAGTCATGTGATGTGGTAGCGGCTTTGAACAATACAAGTCAATTTTGTAAAATTAGCACCTCTTTGTTTGTAAGTAAATACTTTCTGACGATAGATGCAGTCTTTAGTTTGAAAGCTAAAACTCTTTCAAAATCAATTCCACCCGATATAACACGAGCAAATCGGAGTTCACGATCAGTTTACGCTACTCAAGAAAACGTGGTTATTGCGTTATTGGGTAAAATACATTTGAACTGTTATCATCGTGAATTATGTAAAAACTCTTCTTTCAATTATTTTTTTTACCTTTTAAAAATTCCTAATCACCTCTTTCGAAAACCATCATGCAATTTTCATCTGAAATTCATACCAACACATCGTGCTACAACATCGCTTTACTTCCGCAATGTAATTTTTATGATCACGATCATTCGGAAAAGTTCGGGTTCTACCAGCAATACCATGCGGCATTTTGATTGGTAAATAGCGTTTTTGACCTACCGGGTCAAAGGACACATGCCGGTCAACTAATGCGTCATAACTATCATGGCGGGTCTGTGTTTTTCACCGAAGTGATCGAGTGATCAAAAATAATTTCTCCCGACAAAACTAGCTCAAATTTTACGTTTTTTCATATAAAAAAAAGAAGTCTTTAATTTTTGCATGGCATCATGATCGAGTAAGAGGAATTATTGGTATAACCGGTGTATAACATCGCGAAGTAAGTTATG